TAAAATATCGAAAAATATACAGCGCGCGAATTTTAAATGAGAATTTCCGAAAACTTTTCGGTCTTAATGTATAAGAAAGCCTAGCTTTTACGGCAAAACTAATCAAACTTTATTGAATAATTACTGTAGATGGCGTATCGATGAACAAGACAAATAACTTATTAAATACATATAGCCTTTTTATCCAAGCGTCTGTTAATATTTGAAATACATATATCTCATATATTGCTGAAATAACCCACACTCCAACTTTTTATGACACCGACAAGCTATGTTCAAATTTGAGTAATTTTGGGTTACACTAGAATCATGCGGTATAACAACGAGCTTACATAGTTTAAGTTTTAAATAAATTAAATCGACAGGCACACATATGTACCATAAATTAGTATCTTTTCTGTTCAAAATCGTTTAAATTAATTTTTTTATTAATTTATTGACATTAATAAAATCTCCCAAAAATCAATTCCTTTGTATGATAAAATAAATGTTAAAAATAATAAAATAAACATAAAATACCAGCAATTATTAAAATTAAATTTTTAATTAAATAAAATGGAGTGAACATATACATTTAGAAATGTACATAGATACTTGCAGCTTTTCAAAATTTTTATATGCAAATATAAACAAATATATTAGTATATGGTGTTTTAGTATATATTTTATCAAACATAAATCTGAGCTTGAAAAACTCAAATATTTATTTGGGATGACTTTGTAAACTTACCATTGAAAATCCAAGTGATGTTGGGATTTGGTGCTCCCACAGCACGACAAGATATGGTCGCATCCTTTCCATCCAGCGCGGTTACATTTTGAGGCGGCTTCTCCATAACGGGAGCAGACGCTAAAAAATGATGAAAAGTGAAAAAAATTAAAAACCAAAATGAAAAATATTAAATTGTTTTAGGAGGAGCTGTTGTGGCAATTATTCATTTATTTTGTTTGAACAATCGTATTGTATTTGAAGGCAAATACAATTTGTACGGCTAAAAAACATGCAAGTGCCTCTGTCCATTGTGTGTGTTTTATGCGATAAGAAACATTTTTATTTAATATTTGTTAGTTTCAGAAATACTACACAAATACAACAGAAATACGGAAAATATGGAAAATACGGAAAACAAAATCGTAACAAGTGGCGTTAAAAATTTATTTTCAAAGCAAAGAGAGAAAAATAAATTTCATAAAAATAAACATTTCTAACCAGGAAATAAAAAGCTACTCAATACTGCAAAATAAAAAAAAATATTAATAAAAAATACTTTACAGAAATAAATAGAAATAGAACGTTTGTTTGCAAAGGAATTTTCGTATTGAATTGCATGCGACATGCAAAACTTTCATTGATATTTTTTCCTCAAATGGAAGAGAATTTTAATAAATAAACGATAAATATGAAAATTTTCTAGTAATGAAGTTATTAGGTTTAATAAATTTTGCACTTATTGTTGATTAACTACAACAATATAACAAAGTTATGGAAGAGGTAATGTGATATGTATTTTGAATTAACTATAAAAGAGGTTATTATTTCGTTAAATATAAGACATAGCAAATACGACATTACTTGTACATTATAATAATTATAAATCTGATTACAAACTCAAATTCTTAGCGGAAAATATATTGAACAGTTCTACCACTCATCACTTACACACCTATCTAGTGATCCACACAAAATAAATGTCTAATAAATGTTGGAAATTTGACCGTTCACATAACCATAAATCAAAAAACCTATTCATTGAGGTAAAGAGAGAGTGTAAGTAGTATGTATCTTTCTGGTTCTTTAGAAATAGAAACTATATATTTCGTTTACAGTAACTAAAAATGTATAATTTTTACTTTTATTTGCGATTTCCTTTTAGAGTTGTTGTATTTAGGTACCTCTCTTCGAAAAAATAAGGTGCAGTGGGAACGTATCAAAGAGCACAGAGATAACTTTACTCTATATCGTTGTTGAGTTTTATAACTGAGAAACTGGTTCGTCATTTATTGGGAAAACATCATTATTTGTTTATTTATGAATATCATTCATTTTTATAACCTTAAATAAGAATTCAAAACTATTCTTCTTGTTTTTAAGTGGTTAACGAAAACATATGTACATTTTTCTTTTCTATCATAGAACATTTTAAAATCAATAAGTAAAGTTCCTTTGGGTCCTCAACTATTTCAGTATTGTGGCATGTAAATTTCTTAAGTTTAAATATCTGATTACAATTTAAGATCAACATTGATTTCGACATCGCATCACCCATATTAATAATTAGAAAACATAATTGCTACAATATGTCCCAAATTATTTATAATAAAAATGTTGTCTAAGTAGAAAAAGCCAACAAAAACAAACATTTTTTTAAGTGCAGAAAGCGTTGTTTGAATTGCAGTATTCCTTGTGGTACTTTTATAACTTTTTACATGAGAGTTTTTTCGCACTTACCGGACTATAAACATAAAATGTGCTGTTGGGAAAAGGATAAAAAGCAAGGACTTTTTTAAATACACATATACTTTTTTTATATAGCAAACCCGTCACGGTATTGTAGGGTAATGTACAAAAAAATGTACGGATATATGCAAACTTGTACTTAGTTAACATATGAGCAATATATCACATTAGGGAGGGACCCTTAAATACTGTGCAAGTGTGCTGGTCATTGAAAACTATTTGCGCTACGTGTTTTTTTATGCAAAAAAATTAATTTTAAATGCAATATTTATTTTAAAATTATATGAAGCAATTAAGAGAAAACAAATAAAAACTAATGTTGACTTAAAATGATACTAATCATTTTGTAACAAATCAGTTATTTACTAGATGCTTTCTAAATTTCATATACAAATAATTTAATTTTTAGTCATACCATCGAATACACATACAATATAATATAAAGATATTATGTTGTATTATTAAAAAGTGTATATGAGTTCATATATCAATTAATAATTTTATAGAAATCAAGAGTCGTATAAACTTCCCGGCTGCAGTTAGAATTTTAACGCACAACTATTTGCTTTCAGAAGAGCGGTTTTTTTTTTTTTTTGTGCGGCAGAAGAGCGGTAGAACTTATTTCTTTAAAAGAAGCAACCAAAAGTACAACAAACTTTTTATGGACGCTTGACTATTTAAGCGTCCATAAAAACAATTTATTCATTTCTGGACATCTTTTAACTCACAGCATTAGGTTGTGTATAGTTAGGAAAATAAAATAATTCATAATATTGTTAAAATTTTTGTTAATATTTCAGTGAATCGGGCAAATGAGATACTTAGGTTTTGACTCAAAATACAAGTACATACTGAAAAAACGGAAACTTAACCACCTGCAATATGGTTGGAATCATATACAATCAATCGATCTAAAGAACTACAGTATGCAAGCTGGTCTTTTTGAATGGCACTGTTTGATTGCAACACATACACGTAAGCGATATATTACCAGAAGTGTTTAATCCAGGAAATGCATGAACCGAAAACCATTGAAGCTCTGTAGAATTATTTCTGTTTCTATGGGGCTATTTCAAAAATCCGACAAAAGTTTTTGAAGCTACTAGTTTAGAGAGACTAAACTTCTTACCTGATATTGAAGTGAACTACCTATTAAAATTTGCTAGTTTTACACACATCTTAAGTAATGTGAATGTATTGTCATTAAAAACCTTAAGCAATCTAATCCTTAGAGGTGTCGCTGTAGATCTAGCTCTACCAACAAACTATGAGTCAAATAATTTATTTTATTTATAGACTTTATTTTATAGAGTCTACACTTACGAGTGTAGACTTTTACTCCATCAGAGAGTTACGTTACAAATCTAACATATTCCATATTCACATTAGTGTGAAGAGCATAATAAAAAGAATTCAACTTTAAGTTGATAATTTAATTGAAAAACAGGTGGAAAAAA